AGATGTAATCTATATAGAGAGGAAAGAAAAGGACTAAGAGAAGCCTGCGAAGGCGATCTATTACTACCTATCCTCTTTCAAACAAAAGAGGGTATAGAAGCAACTCTTACCTTTATTCAAGAAACAAAGGCTGGAACACAAGCCTGGTACAAAGGAAACACAGAAAACGAGGAGTAATACCTGTAATAGGTAGCCATACACCTCCCCCACCTATCCTCCCCCCCCCCTACTACCAACCAATAGGCTACGAGCCTCACCTTCATCTAGTTAAAACCCCTCCTAAATATCGTAGCTAGAAACAACCTACTTAGATACTTGTAGGCCTAAAAACCCTACACGTCTTATATAGCCCTTTGGGCTGAAAAAGGACGTTAAACTAGAATAATAATAATAATATACGCAAGCAACTTGGACCAGCAGTAGGTTTACTACCTCTGTGCAAAAACTACATGCAGGGCTATGTAGATAATATTCCTGAATCTCGTGTTTGACTGAGAATCTCATGATTAATTAAATACATGCTCACTGGGTGACAATCTGCTGGTGGTTGCAGCCAAAGGGAATTGTAGCATAAAGTTCAATCTGATGATTACTGAACTCTTCGCCTATTGGTTCCCGCCAGAAACCACCCATCTATGACAGTGCGCTAGTAGGCGTGGTCGTCAGATAGAGAACGCAGCAAGAGATTGAGGTGCCCGCCATCACAAAGGGGATTTGTAGTGTTTCGCGGAAAAGCAGAAAATGCTTACCATTACTTGACAACAAAATTGCTACGTCTTCCGGTAAACATATCCTGTGCGCCTAATCTCATCTTCGGCATTTTTTCCTCTCCCTATTGCTTCCAACTTTCTTACCAATGGTAATACTTCTTTGCCAAATCTCTCGATGTCCTCCTCATAATGCAGATGAGCAGTCAGTACCAAATGTACCCCCAAGCTCTTCAGCAGTAGAATCCGGTCTGCAATTTGCTCCTTAGTACCAATCAACTTTGTCTTGAAACCATCATTATACTGGACCAAATCTTCAAACTTGCTGTCTGCCCACATGCCCTTTGTGTTGCTGGTACTGGCACCAGCTTGTTTGACTGCTTCACGGAAAGCTTCGACAGCTTCCGTGTCTGCTTTGCCTTGGATCTCTTTCAATACACGGATAGCTTCTTCTTCTGTGTCACGAATGATGACGAAGCCGTTGACTGCAAATCTCACTTTGTCCTCACGCCCCACTTTTCGTGCCCTGTCTTTCACGTCCTCAATCTGTTCGCGGAAGCCATCCAGGTCATTGCCATTCATGAAATACCAGTCACTGACTTCAGCGCCATTTCTCCGGGCATCGTCGCTGTTGCCGCCTTGGAAGATTTCGGGGTGTGGTTTTTGCAGTGGCTTGGGTGCTAACTTGTAATCTCGAAATCGGTACTAATGAGATACATAAATTGTTAGTGAAAACTGTTATGATTGTCGGTTTCAAATATTCTTGATGTCCAATACATACAAAGTCACCGCCGAAGGTGAAACCCTTTCCATCAGCAGTCCAGATCCCCTTTAGAGCCCGAATGAACTCATTGGAGCGCCTATAGCGCTCACTGTGCTCAAGCCACCACTGCCCTATACTTGTAAACTCGCTCTTGTTCCAGCCTGAAACAATGTTTACAGCGATGCGTCCGTTGGTATAGTTGTCGATACTCGCGATCTGCTTGGCTGCGACGGTCGGATTCCACGGCCCGGGAAGTATAGCAGCTATGAGTTTGAGGCGCTCTGTGTTGTGCAATAGCGCCTGAGACAATGAAATACTCTCATGCTGGTATTCGGCTCCATAGGAGGCAGTGAAGCGAATTTGCGTCAGCGCATACTCGAAACCATACGCCTCAGCTGTCCGGGCATATCGCACGTTGGATGATAGGTCCCAATTTGTCTTTTGAGCTATCTTTGACACAACCAGGCCGCCAGAGACGTTGGGAACCCAGTATCTATATTAAGTCAAGATTGGTTTTCTAGCTGCTTCCCAGGAAGCTACTCACGCAAACAGCAGGCGATCAGGATCTTGGTTTAATTGCAATTGTTTTGCAGGTGTGAAGCCGTCTGTTCCTCCATTGGAGTGTCCATTGGTTTCACTTGTACTGCTGCTCTCTACCATTTCATCCACACTGTCAGCTGTGCATTTGGATTCATAGCCAGACTCTGGTCGTTTTACCTGTCTTTTGTTTCTTTCGCGATGACATGATTGTTTCAGATGATAGTGTAGAACAGAGGTTGGTTTTTGATATTAGAAAGGAACTTCCGATGAAGCTTTGAGTGTACAAGCCGAATAAAGAGTTCTGCACCGGATGTGCACATAATAAGCGTGGATTGCGTGATGTGCAGTCATACCTTAGATTTGCGGGGTCGACGTGAATTGAACCAGGTTGGTCAAGCGACTACATTAGCGTTCCATAGAGAGCTATCTCCACGCAGATCATCTTGCTTCAACCTACCTGTCATCTTTCATCTTGCGATTATCAAATATATCTTGGCCTACTGTAAGCTGCAATGCGAAGACTGGTGACAGCTCTACAGACTTGGCATCTTTCATTGTTGCGCAGGATTTCCAGCCACTGACGGATGAGATAAGCTGCGAACCCAGAAGTATGATTTGACGTTACTTGAAGCCAGATACCTGGTCAAACTGTGCTCAACATTCTACGTAGTGTGCAGAATCTACTGCAATGACAGCTTCATTAGAAACGGAGATGATGTCGGCTCAATTGTGACGCTGGAAAGGATAAGCTGTATCAAATACAGCCGAAGCACGTCATTTATTGTCGCATTTTGGAAGCTCACTTCGGTTGAATACAAAAGGCCGGACATCCGAGCCAGACAAGTATGCGAATATTTTGATACACACAGATAATCATGCCTGGCTCTTTGACAACAGACCCAAAAGGTGGAATCAGCTCTCAAGCCAGTGATGTTGAGAAGCAACTCGCCCACGAGGTGCCTGTTGTGCAAGTGGTAGCCCCAAAAACATTGGGGGCTGGAGTAAGGACCATTCCCCAGAAGATACACGAATTCGCTAACTTGCGAAGACAGCGCTTCCTATTGGAGTTTTTGCAACGACTTTGACCACATTATCTCTCAGTCTAATGGAATGGCGAGGAGTCACTACAAACAACGTCTTTGTCGCCAACTTTTTCTTTGCAGCGGCTTTTGGTGAGTGATGAACATATATAGTATTTATACATACACTGCGGCTAACCTTCTGTTAGGTCTTGTGATTACTGCGCAGTGGGAGCTCTCAATAGGAAACGGCTTTTCCTACACAGTCTTTAGTGCTTTTGGCATGTTCAATTATCTTGATCGCAGAGGCCCATAGCTAACTGGAGTCAAGGTCTGTTCTATGCTGGCTATGGTGCAATTTTGACCCCAGCTTTTGGGATTGTGGCAGCATACGGAGACAATGTGACAGAACTTAACAATGCTCTGGGTTTTTTCATGATTAGTGAGTCGATTAAGACTGCTTATGACTGATAGCACTACTGATGATTTTGCAGTATGGACGGTCTTCTGTCTGGTGTTCCTTATAGCTTCGTTGCCGACACATCTGGTAAATATCATAATCTTCTTTACGGTCGAGCTAGGATTTCTGTTAATTTCAGCATCCTATTTTGCCGTGGCAGACGGAAATCATGCCGCGTCGATTGCTCTCAAGAAGGGTGGTGGTGCTTTCTGCTTTTTGGCTGGATTAACAGGTATAGTCCTCCTGTTCACTGATTAAATATGACATACATACTAACATTCTACGCGATATCGACAGGGTGGTACTTGACATTTGCTTTGCTGCTGAAGGACTCTATCATCGAGCTACCACTTTACGACACTTCAAGGTTTTTTGCGAAACTTAGGAAGATGGAATAGACCGCAAATAGACGCACTGCACTCACAACAGGGCAACTGGTGCCACTTCGGAGATTTGCAGTTTGCTAGACATTGTGCTGGATTGCGAGGTATTGGGATTGAGAATGATGCGATTGAGGGGTTAGATGGCGAACGCGGCTCGGGGTTGGCGGCAAGCTTCGACGTTGAGCTAGGTATACCTAGTCTATGCACAAATGCAAGGGTGTGCGCGTCCAGCGTTGCGTAAATCGGCGCGTCTTACTTCCATGCTCACGAATGAAGATGTAGTGACGCTGCTGTATTGTGTGATCTACCCCGGCAGTATGAAAGTCAAGCTAGCCGCATATGCTTGCCGGCGGCCAGCTTGACTTGCACCCGCACAACGTGGGAGGTGGCTTGTCCCTGTTTGTACCCCTCCTTTCTCATAACCACCACGTGCTTGCTCATCTGGTCAACTCCAGCCCCGCAGATAGCTTCAGCGTGAAAGAATAGCACGCAATATGATGTGAATATCGTGTCATGTCAAGCGTACAGTGAGAGCCTATGGATATAAAGCCATGCAGCTGAAGTAGGAGAGGACACGATATGTGCATGACAAGAAGATACCAAAATTTCATAGATACATGATGACTATCACCAACGGAACTAATAGCCAGCCTGGAAATGCGAAGGACGTTAACTTTCGAGATCCGGCTGTCTATGTTGAGTATGAGAAAACATGGTCGTCCACGCCTGAAGATGAGGCGGGTTGGCTCCAGCGTGCTCAAGAGGTCGCTAATGTTCTCGCTGTCGATGCCGTTGTGCGAGACCAAGAGAACAAGTCTCCAAGAGCTGAAGTAGCCTTGCTAAAGCACTCTGGACTTCTCAAGGTTCTTGGTCCAAAGAAGTATGGTGGTGGTGGTCAGCCATGGAGTGTTGGTAAGTTCTCAGCATACAGCATACAGCATAGAGACAGCGGACATACTGACATCTAAAAAGGTTACAAGACAATTCGGAAGGTGGCCGAGGCGGATGGGTGAGGAGTATCACCTTTCTTTTGGCTCTGTATACTGACTGTCTTAGATCAATTGGCATGCTGCTTGGATATCATCTGTTGTGGTCAACCACAGCCAATGTTGTTGGCTCACCTGAACAGGCCGACCGCATCCAAAAGCTCATCATTGAGAATAATTACTTTGTCGGCGGCGCTGTGAATCCTAGAGACAGCGACTTGGCCATCAAATCGGACGGCGATAACATTGTTTTCAACGGATTTAAATTTTTCAACACAGGTGGTGTTGTTTCCGACCTGACCGTACTTGAAGGTGTCTATGAAGGGACTGGGAACCATATCTTTGCCTTTGCAAAGACAGATCAACCCGGTATCCAATTTGGGCATGATTGGAACAACATCGGCCTCCGCTTGACGGAGTCTGGTAGTGTGCGAATCTCTAACGTTAGCGTGCCTTGGTCAGATGCGCTGGGCTGGGATGTGGAGAGGAAAGAGCCAGACCTACGCGCATTGCAGATACCGTTTGCGACGCTACTTCTCCCAACTATTCAGCTCGTTTTCAGTAATTTCTATGTTGGCATTGCTCTTGGTGCACAACAATATGCCGCAAAGTACACGTTGAAGGGCACTCGGGCATGGCCTTTTGGCGGCGACGTAAGCACAACCATACTCCCCCGATACTCTGGATACCAGTTGTTGATACATTACCAGAACAAAGAAATTGCGACCGATGAGTTCTATATTCTGGAGCGCTATGGTAACTTTCACGCACACCTTCGTGCTGCCAACGCCCTAGCAGACCGTGCAGGCCAAGAAGTAGACGCTATCTACCAGAAGTATGGGGGTGATTTGGACACTCGTGCTAAGTTGACAGTGCGCGAGAGAGGTGAGCTAGCGGAGTGGGTCGCAAGCATCAAGGTCGTTGCAACAGACACTGGCCTGCGAGTCACTTCTGGGGTCTTTGAGGTCACAGGTGCCAAAGCTACGAGCCAAAAGGTTGGCTTGGATCGGTTCTGGAGGGACGTTAGGACGCACACGCTGCACGATCCTGTCGCATACAAGAATCGAGAGTTGGGGAGGTTCGAATTACTAGACGAGATCCCAGAGCCTACTTGGTATACCTAGCCAGCTCACCTGGTTGCATTGAAACTTCTTAATGATTTGTAATACTTGTTCTGTCAATTACGCACCTCAACTGGCGCTTGAAAGTGAAGCCTTTAGCAAATGCAGAGAAGTCGCATCGGATCCAGGTTGCTATTAATCTTAAGAATCTAACGTGAATTCCTCCATGTGCTTGGATGATATGATTTCCCCTGGTAAATCTACTCAGGCTACAGCCAGAAAGATTCTGTCCTACCTAGCATCTAGATATATATGTAATCTGTGAAATGAGTATATACTGTGTTAGTTATAGAATCCCTGGAAAGAAAAATAACATCATGTCACTAATCCGCACTAACTTCGACTAGCGTTACAAAAATGCTCTAAGAAAGTGAATATGGCATAATTGAACAATCTTCCATCAAAAATACAAGAGAATATAGACCAGACCGTATTATTACAGAGGGGTGACAGTAAAAAAAAGTGTTAAAGAAAATAGAGATTTTAAAACTTAAATAACTCTACTATTTAGATAGCTGAAAATGAGTAGGGCATAGATTTATAATGTAGAGAGCTAGTAGTTTAGCGTAGTAAACCTACCTTTTACTTAGTAAGCGGCTATAGAGAGATATTTACACGAAAATATAGAGAAAAATAATTTATAAAATATATTACTATATAACTTTTTTTTAATAGTACCTTTTTTTTCTTTCTTATATTAAATAATTATATAGAGTAGATAATATAATTTGATTATAAAAAGTTTTATAATTTAAATATAAATTTAAAATGGTTCTAAAATTTTCAAAACTATATTAACTAAGTAAAATCTATGTTATATAGTATGAAAGTTTAATATAACGTGGTTCACAAGTGAGTCGCTCACGCTTCCAACACCAACGTCAAGTTTTCTAGAATAGGTGTAATTTTGTTGAATATATACAAATCCCTTACAAGAAACTAATTACAGCAAGTTTTAAGACGTGCAGCGTGCGCGCTGTGGAGCTATAAGCTATAAGAGCAGATAGTTGAGACACGTCTCACTCTCAAAACAAAAACACACACACACACCAACTTTTAAGCAGAAATCTTTCATCAAAACTCGTCAATTTTCTATCAGATATAGGGGTAACACGTCGCGAGAAACCGATTTACGCCACCTCTAATGTGTGCAGCCCTCTCGTTGAGGTGCTAGAGGGGGTATTGTCGGTATTCTTGCGACGTGTTTGAAATGCGAAAATCTTCGAGAACGCACAGACCGCCCCGATGACTAATAGGGAGACTACCAAACGAACCAAAAACATTAAAAACACCAAATAAAACAACAAAATACAAAAATCCTAATATCTAAACG